TCAAAGGTTAAAATTTCATATGTTATATTGTCTTTACATAAGGGCACCCACACACGCGTGCGCGCACACACACACACACACACACTCAAAAGGAAACAAGTATTTCTCCCAAAATGGAAAGATCATCCTATCTGTAACATTAATGACTAGTTCTCATGTGGTTAAATCATATATAAAGCTTGAGAATTTAGCCTTACGTAAGTTTCTGCACTGACTGTATCATATAGATCTAATTTTCTTTTTGTGGGAAATGATAGTGTTCTTTGCTTTGCCAAATATTATTATTGATTCAACTGGCAACGTTTAAGAGAGAGAACATCAAGGGTTCTTAAAACTATTTGGTGTTGAGTGAAGAGGTAGAGGAAGATATTCCATATTCCCAAACATTTTAAGTTTTGTCTCTTCCTGATGTTGGAATATAATCTAGACGAAGAAGCTTTTCTGATCCTTTCAAATATGATGTTCACTATTGAGAGAAATCAGGATATCAGTAAAGGGAAGTTTAATTCCACTCATTGATAATCTAGTTTTGAATGATATATTCTAATTTTTAATATATTTTCCTTGTCTGATCTATCTTGTCTTTAAGCTTCTGTGCACCAGAAGGCCTGTGTGCCTGCTTGTGGTTTTGTACCATCTGGAAGTTCAAATTTGACTTTAGAAGTGATGTCATGCTTGCTTACTGCAAGCCAGGCTAATGTTGGTTGAGTATTGGATGCAGTTCAGGTCAAAGTTTTGCATTAGAAAAAAGCTTCATTTTTTGGTTCTAGGAGACTGTGTGAAGCTCTAAAGATAGAGTGCAGGTGATTGAAGGGTATGGTCCAGATTCCTTTGACGTTAAGTACATGCTTCCTGGCACATGGAAAATAAACTCACACACAGAACATCTTGGTTGGAATAGAATCCCTCCTCCCATGTTGAGTATGAGTGTTGCAAGTACTGTGTGTCGATCACTGCCAACCTTGTTCTGGTTTAGACCAGGAGAGATATCCTCACTTCATAGGCTGCTTTTCATCTCCTCTTAGCTCAGGAAGATGTAGCAGGGCACTGGTAGATCACACATGGTAGGAAGGTGCTACAAATATTAAGTAGATTATTCATCATTACAGAATCTTTTTTTTTCTATACTCTCTAGCACCAATCACTATCATTTCCTTTTATTATAGTTTGAATGATTTGCATTTCCTTTTAGCTCAGATATAGACCATGCAACGATCATAGGTAGAATATGGAGAGAGTGGGAATACAGTAATATATTTCTTCCCAGAATCCTACAGAGTATGCCTGTATATAAATATCTGTATTTTACAATGCCTATACTTGGTTGTAATCCTTTCTAACTGCCGTTATAATAAAAATGCTTAGCACGTCCTGCCAATTTCTGTGAAACTCACCACATGCTTGTGCTTTAAACAAAACAAAGAATCATGTTTTGTTATCAGATATGGTGAAAAACCAAAGAGAAGTAGTGAGATTGTTCAATGTTTGTAAATGAAAACAAATAAACAGAAATAAAATATTTAGAATCTGCAATAGTGAAGTCTTAGGCGTGGATTTTCACTTAGAAAAGCAAATATTTTAAGAATACAGTTATTTCCCTCACCTTGAGAGTCCCTTTATCTGTACATTATGTGAAAAGAGATGTTTATCTGATATTTGAGGAATCTATCTAGTCCCAAACTATCCACCTGCACTCTTAGTGTAGTTGAGCTCTTTTATCTCCTGGGCTCCAAGTACTGGTCTCTATCCGTTCCTTACTTGTCTTTGTCTTCCTTTTTGGGTTAGAAACTGGAACACCTTTGTATTTGCCTACCTACCATCACCATTGACCTTTAGAAGTAGAATTTTGGCACCCACTTCTTGGAAAGGGTAAGCAAAGGCAGTCCTGCTCCAGTAAATTCTTTAATGTCATCATTCTTCCCTTAGGTAGTTTACCAAATACTGATTCCTCCCTCCCATCATATATAGTATGAGGCACTCATCAGGGTTTCTTCTAACCTCTTTGTTTTAGAAATGGCGAAGCTGTGACTGAGGGCTGGCTAGGAGAAATGAGGGTTATTGGTCCCTGGTCCTCACAACTAAATACAAGCTGACTTGGACCTAAGACCTGAGTCTTTTTTTCTCTTATTCCAAGTTGCTTTTTGACTTTGTGTCTTCATAGTATTTATAGTATTCATGTATCCATTTAATTTGGTTTATTATAGTGTTCTTTCATTCTTTAAAAACATTTTTCATCAAAATTCTAATTTATATATAAAAAAGCAAAATATTGAACACAGGTTATTGTGAGCTACAGCAACCATCTATCTACAGCTGGTCCCATTTGTTCTTCTCAAGGACAGTTCGTTTGAACTCATTTACTTCAGCTACTTTGACCTCTCCATTTCTATCTCTACTATCTGGCTGCCGATTTGTTGATTTTTCTGGTTTGGAGCATTTGCATTATATACTTTGATCATGCCAGTGCCAATTAACCAGGTGAACCTCATTGTCCCCAACCTCCTTTATTCTCCCAGAAGGATTATTTTGAAATCTGGTTGCCAACCTTATTTTTGTTGTTGTTGTTAGCTTGGTATTTCTAGGTCATGAAAAAGATTGCTGTAAATTGTTTCTTAATCCTTAGTTGTGCATTCTTACATTTTTCAATTTTATTGAAATGTAATTATGAAGTATTGAAGTATAAATGAAACCATATAGTATACAGAGTTTTTGATAAATCTGTTCACCATGCATGCCATTCAATTTAGAGAATAAAAGGGCTCTACTTGCCCTTTGCCATCAGCCCTCACCCCTCCTCCTACTTCTAGCAAGCACTGCTCTCATTTGTGTCACCATAGATTACTTTTTTTCAATTTTATAGAAATAATTACATAAGTCCTCAGGATTCTTTTTATTCAGCTTGCTTATGATAATACATCCATGTCATTGTATGCATCTGTAGTATATTTCTTTTCATGACTGGATGATATTCTACATAAATACACCTCAGATTTATTTAGCCATTTACTTGATGGTAGATATTTGGGTTGTCTAGTATGATGCATTATAAATAATGCTGCTATGGACATTTCTGTATATACCATTTTCTGGATTCACTTATGATGTTGCATAATTTTGATTTGTTATAATACACATAGCATGTTCCTATCTCGCATCAAAAGGACTAATTACAAGGTACATCATATATCCCTTCCCAAGGGGATCAGGATGAATCATTGGAGTGGTAACTTTTGGAACCCAGGGATGGTTCTAACTCTGACTTTGTAACCTTTACACCAGATAACGTATCATGATGTCTTTAGTGATCAGAGAAAATAAATCATGGTAGTTTTCTTAGTTAATTTGGTTTTCTATGACACAACACCTGGATGAGATGACTTGTAGATACCTGACATCTATCTCTTACAGTTCCAGAGGCAGCAAAGTACAAGAGCAGTGTACTCGAGTCATTGTCTGGTGAGGATCTTCTGTCAGCCTCATGGCTGATGCCTTACTGTATTCTCATCTGCTAGGAGAGGCCAAAGAACTCTCCCTTGGGGCTGCTTCATAAGGGACAGAGTTCTACTCTGAGGGCTCTGCCCACATGATCTAATTCTCTCAGAACAGACCCTCTGGTATAATAATATTATCACCTTGGAGACTAAATTTCAACATAAGAATTTGGGAATGACACAAAATTCCTACAATGGTAGTAGTACCTATGTAATCATCAGCAGCAGAACCTTTTAAAGAAAGGGTTCTAGCCATTTAAAAAAATATCCAATTAAATAGTAAAGCCTGTGGGAACAATATATTAGATAGCATTTTTCTGGTGAGAAAATTCTCCTTGGAAGCCTCATGGCCTGTTAACTATAAAAATTAAGGATAGTAATCCTTCACATAAATTGTCATAATTGTTTTTTAAAACTACAGTAGTGTGCATTTAGAAACTTGCATACAAATACAATGTTATAGATCAATGAAGTGTAGCTTTAGAAAGCTCTAGAGGACTAACTTTAAAGTGGTCACTTAATGGTTTTCATATTCCTTGTATTGTTTCATTTTTTTCTACCATCACAGTGATTTTTTTACTTTCTCTGATGTGGTCTGAGTAGTCTGAAATTAAAATTTCTCTATGTGTGGTGTTGAGAATTAAGAAGGATTTTTTTTTCTTTGCTGACTGATGCTGCCTTAAGGGTGGGTCTTTTAAGGCATGTGGAGCTGCGGATCGAACCGTGGTCCCCTGTGCCTGACTGGGCTTGCCCAAGCAGGCGCTTAAATAACTGAGCTAAAGTGCAGGCCCCCCGTGTTGAGAATTAAGAAAAAAATAAAACTTAGTTTCTGCCTTTAGTAATGACACTTGAAAAGGAAGAATTATGATTTTTCTGATTCATAAATATAGTTGTGTAACTTTTGAGCTCCAGTAGAAATAGTAAATTTTTGGTATGCTTTTTTTTTTTAAAAGTATTTGGAAATGATCTTCCATATATGTAAATGGAGAACGAGTGTTTCGTATCCACATCATTTTCTTCTTCCAGCAGCTCTCACTTCCTCTCAGGAACTTGTATTTCTCTAATTCAGGAGCATTTCTCTCCATGTCAGTCTTGTTCTTCCAGATGCTTGTCAAGGATGCACAAACCATGGCCAATAAAGTTTTGCCCTTCCTGGGCTCTCAGAGGCTCAGGTGTTTATTTGTGTGCTTTGTTTCTCAGCCTACACAAACACACCATTTCCTGTAAGTGGGTGAAGGGATACAGGATCAAATTCTTATTTCGTAATGTCTTACTTCATGGACACTTTATCTGCTAAAAAAAAGCATCACTGTTCAGACATGGACACAGCAGGAACTTAAGGTAGTCACCGATTGTTAGGATGTGTGGCACCGAAGTGCCTGCCAACAGTGGTGTGCTCATGCTGTGCTCAGGAGACATGGGCTACAGCAGTGCCTCCTGAGGTACTGTGGAGGTTAACTAATAGCATCTTTTTAAAATCAAAGCCTTCTTTGTCTTTCCTGATTTCAGGTAGATGCACTGAGATTACGACTGGAAGAGAAGGAATCTTTTCTCAATAAAAAAACAAAACAGCTACAGGACCTCACAGAAGAGAAGGGTACACTGGCTGGAGAGATTCGGGACATGAAAGATATGTTAGAAGTCAAGGAAAGAAAAATCAATGTTCTTCAGAAAAAGGTGCGTAGCTGACATAAGCCCTTAAAGTTATGAATTTATATTATCTGTATTTCCTAATTTTAGGGCTACTTTGAGTGTATGGAAAATAAGTTATCTTTTAGGAGGTTAGATTAAGGAGTATAAACTTCTTATTTACAAGTATTTAACATATTGATAGTTATATCCTATTATATTTAATGTGGCCTGATAAATTTTCTATTTGATTATTTAAAAACTAAATAGTGTGTTTTTTAAACTTGTAAACTTAAATACAAATAGAGGCAATTGTATATATTTAGAATTAAATCTAAAAAATAAGTAGTAGACCAGGTGTTCAGCAAGCACAAGGCTCTAGGTATAGTCCTCAGCACTAGGGGGTGGGGGTGAGGGTGAAATATAAAGTCCAAAGAATTAATTAGTTTTCTTTTTTCCATACTGAGAGTTGAGCCAATGTAATTTTGGGTCTTTAAATGTGCTTTAGAAACATCTTCAAGTTACATAAACTTTGGTAGAGTCTTTTGTGCCTCTCAGTTCCTGGTGGTATAACAAGACCTATGAGGCTCGGTAATTTATAAAGAATAAAAATTCATTTTCTCGCAATTCTAGAAGTTGTGAAATCCAGGATCCAGATCCGGGCAGGCTTGGCGTCTGGTGAATGCACTTTGTTGCTTCATTGTTGAGAGATGACCAGTGCTGTGTGTTCACATGGCCAGTGGGGTGGCAGTAAGAAGGCTTTTCTTCTTTACTTCCCTTTTGGGGTTGCTAATCCCATCTATGAGGCCTCTGGTACCCTGACTTAATCAGTTCCTTTATAAAGGTCCACCTCTTAGTATTATCACATGGGTGATTGCTTCAACATGTGCCTTTTGGGGTCACAATCAAACCAATGTAACAGACCTACATATTATTTCTGTGGGAGAAGTAACGTTTGAAAGCCATTGCTCAATTTGAGTCAGCATAGAGAATACATAAAAATTTCTTACCATTGTGACATTACGTGAAGTGTTTAACTTCATGAAGGCCCTATTTTTCTTCTTTCATTCAGTGGCTCACATTCTCCATTGTAGGGGACCTTGATTTTTTAACAGCACCATAATTTATTTTCTTTCTTTCTTTTTTTTTTTTTCGAGAATTCCTATTTGCTATTGTGTACAGTTTTGGTAGAACCACAGAATGCCTTGCTTTCTCTAAAAAAGAAGAGAAACTAATTCCTGCTCTTTTATGAAAGCAAAAATGAAGTAGAAAGATGTAGAGGTCTCAGATTAAAAGGCAGCTATCATGGAAACTGGTTGGAAATTAGCAGTGGGTTGTAGGAGCCAGCTGGCCAGGACACGAGGATAAACAGGCATGTTGCCTGACACTAAGCTGTAGCTGCAGATGAATGAACAACTGGCCACTCCTCTTGGTATTTCTTTGATATCGGCAGCATCATAGCTGTTTTTCTTGTATCTACCCATAGGTTTTCTATAATCTGTTCTTAATTTAGAAGCTGGAATAATCCTTTGAAAGCATAATATAATTTATGTCACACTTGAACAAAACTCTGCAGTCTCAACCCACTACATAATTTGTGGGGTCCAGTATAAATGAAAATATGGAGACTGTTATTCAGAAGCTCACATTGTGGGATGGCAGCAGCAGAGCACTAAGCCTGGCTGAGAGCCCAGTGCAGGGTCACGCGTTGTAGACCCATGAAGCTGTCCCATTCCCATGCTACTCAGGGTAACAGTGGAAGTCCTTACACACACTCAGTGTCCCACATCATTGTGCATTGTTGTGCTTCCTGCTGTCTCGCTGTTCTTCCCTTTGCTCATATCACGTTAGCCTTCATGCTCTCCTGTGGAGACCCCAGAGGTGCTTTCTCAGGGCTCAGCCTTTTTTTTTTTTTTTTTCTTTTTAAATTTTAGGGAAGGGTCTACACAGTGTTCAGGGTCTCACTACTAGATCAGACTCAGTGATCCACCTGTTTAGAACCTCCCAAGAGCTGGGATTACAAGTACTTGTCACCACGCCCAGTCTCAATTGCCATCTCAGCATGCCCCAGGGCAGGGCTGGCACAGCACGCCCAGGAGGCCTCAGCCCTTTGCTGGAGCTCTGGGGGGACACTCATCCCGGGACTGCACTGCCTGGGCTAGGAGCTGTGAAACTGAACTTCTTGAGATGTGCTATGAATGTGAACTGTATAGTGGATTTTGAAGACATTTCATGAAAAACACAATGTAAGAACTTTTAAAAGTAATTCTTATATTAATTATAGTGAAGTAAAAATATTTTAACATATCAGGTAAAATAAAATGTACTTTAAAAATTAATGTGATCTGTTTCTTTTTACTTTTGTAATGTGACTACTAGAAAGTTTAAAAGCACCTGTGTGACTCCTGTTGTTTCTATTGGGAAGGACTACTCTAAATATATACTTGGCTAGAGCTTTTACTTCTTTTGGGTCTCTGCCCAAATGATATATACTTTGTTACAGACTTTCGTTCAGCACATGTAAAATAGCTTACCACATTCCTACCACTTGTATGCCCACATGCAGTTTTATTTTTCTAAATAGAACTTATCCATCTGGCAAATTTATATATCTTTAATTTGTTCATTTGTGTTACTAGAATATACATTTCGGGAAGATAGACTTTATTTTTTCTACTGATATATCTTTAGCATCTAGCACATGTTCATGCTGAATAAACATTGTATGAATGAATGAACCAATGAATGAATGAATGTGCTCCAGGTAAAGTCTTGTGTAGGAGCATTTGATTGCCCCATGCTCAATGACATGCCTACCACCTTTTCTCAGGAAACCTTTTTCCTCAGAATATTGGGCTTTGTTGGACTGGGTCATTATTTCATTTATCTCGAAATTTTCACTGACAAAGTCAAGGTCATTTGATTCCCCTCTCATAGTGCCAGGTATTGATGCAGATAATTAGAGTCAACCTAAATGGAGATAAACAAGCACCTTTGAATCAAAGGGGCTGTCTGGCGAGGCAAGTAGGACTAACAGTGATTTTTATGATGATGGGTCTGAGAAATGTTCTAGGGTTACAAGAGGAAACTTTTCATATAAAATCTCTAGCAGCGAATGATAACAAAACCTGGAATCTGCTGAACTTTGTGTGAATGTGGGTATGTATGTGGGTGTCTTGTGTATCTTTTTTGTGTCTGTAAGTAGTGCAGAGCAGTTAATCAAGGGCCTTCACCCTGAGTTACAACCCTAAGCTTTTTTTTTTTTAGTTTGAGACAATCTTGCTAAGTCAATAAATTGCCCAGGCTGGGCGTTAACTCTGTCCTCCTCCTGCCTCCACCTTCTGGAGCTCTGAGATGACAGCTGTGCACCAATACTCCTGGCTTGCATTTGCCATATATTGAAAGCTGAGTGGTGGATGCTGTGCTGTACTTATATACACTATTTATTTACTTATGACCTTAACCAAATGAGACAGGTGCAATTAAAAATTTAGGCTTATGGGCCAGCAATATAGCTCAGTGGCATAAACACCTGCCTGACAAGTGCAAGGTCCCAAGTTCAATCTCTGGTACTGAAAAAAAATTAGGCTTATGATAAGCTTGCTTAAGGTTGAATAGCCAAAATAAAAATGTTAATATATGAGAAAATAGAATAGATTGGCTAATGCATATTAAGTGAATAAACTTCATTTTCTTTCTTTTTTTTTAGAATGTTTTACTGTATTGGTACAATGGAAAAGTTTTATTTTTTAAAATTTATTTTTATTACCAATTCACCATATATAACAATCATATTTCTTATCATTAGGTACTTTTTACTGTACATAATATCATAATTTTTCTTTTTTCCCATTCCTCTCCCCTTCCTTCATCTCTTTTTTCTCTTTCTCTTTGCAAAAGGTTGTTTCTATTTCTTCCTTCCTTTCTCTGTTTTAATCCCTTTCCCTTTCTTCTCTTCTCCCTATTTCTCCCTTGTTCCTCTTCACATTTTAACATGTTTTTCCTACTTTCTAATATCATTCATCTATTTAGCTCCTTATTTGCTCTTTGGTTTATCACACAAGAGAAAAATGTGATATTTAAATTTAGGTGTCTCACTTCACTTAACATCATGCTCTTGAGGTATGTATCAGTACAGATATAACACAAGATGTACAAGTGTATAAGAAATTCCAAGATTGGCTTACAATGGTCAGCCACAGAGTCAGATGAGGAAGCGTGCAGAGTGGCATCTGCACACTCGAGACTGCAGGATTCAGTCCAAGGCCATGTTCTGTGCAAGCCCGTATCAGGAGGCCAATGGGTCTATGATGGAAGGCTGATGAGTCTATGCCAGAAGGCTGAAGGACCCAAAGCAGAAGCCAAGAGTCTGTGCTAGAGCCGGGAAATGATGTCCAAGCTGATGGTAAGACTGGAGCTCCTCCAAGGAAGAATGGAACCTTCTGTCCTTCCTCATTCTCCTTTAAGTGATGAGTCACTCTAGATTGTGGCCTCCACACCGTATGGTGTGGAATTGCTGAGCCAATTTAGTTAGGCTCTTAGCTTCTCAAGTTGGCAAAATCAACCAACTACTACAAGGTACATTGATTTGCATTTGGATTTGTGTGTGTGTGTGTGTGTGTGTGTGTGTGTGTGTGTGTGTTCTGGGAATCAAACTTGGGACTTTGCACTTGCCAGGCAGGTGCTATACCACTGAACTATCTCCCTATGCCGTTTAAAGTTATACACAGGTTCACAGACTTAATTTGCCCTACCATTTGGAAAAGATGGTCATGTTTGTGTTTATGTGGGAAGGATGGCCACAGTTGTGTTTGGCACTGATGCAGAATTTACAGATAGAAACAAACTTTGCCAAATGCTTCTGTTTGTGAACCAAATTGTTTACAAATAGAAGTGTTCACAAACTGAGTACCACTGTACCTAATTATTTGTTTATCCTTCTTTATGATAGAGTAGTATTCCATTGCATATAAATACATTTTCTTTATCCATTTATCTGGTGATGGGCATATGAGCTGTTTCCAATATTTAATGTTTATAAATTGTGC